TAACGGTAGTGACATGTATTTCATTTTTTCCCAATTGCCACTAATACATATATAAACTCAGACGAGAGATTAACAGATCAGCAAGTGGTTGGTCATCCCGAGTCAATATAAATACTAAACCTTTAGATAATGCGTCGCTTTTTCCTTCAGTAGGGTCATTAGAATTGAAGAATTTGAGTACAGCTGCTTTGAAAACTGCTTTCTTCATTTTGTCAAAAGCTTCATTTTGAAGTCCAGTTCCACTCAGTATCTGTATGTGGTAATCGTTTTATCGGTTCAAATATCTCAGACAACTCAATCTATAAGAGACTATCTTTTAGATCCGCTTTACTGAATACCTTTGCATCTGCCAGTTCTGGTAGAAAATCTTATGTCAGTCGTCCACTAATCCAAGTTAATCTCGCTAGCCCTATCATCTCGTGAGTGTACAAATAAATCATGTCAATATATCACTGTCAAGAGCCGAGGAAGTAACTCCCTCAGACACTAAGCATACACATTCTGAATAATGATCAAATGAATAAATCCCGTATTCCAACATATTGTACTCTTATGAAACAAATTATAATTACATTAACTGTAACAGTCCCTAAAACTAATCATTGACCAAAAATGGTCAGAAAGCAATCTGTGACACTCTTAATTATTCTAAATACATGCAACTCTTACAATTAACCTGCCTTCATGCATCAATTGCAATTAAACACCACCATCTCAAATAACCATTGATAAAGCTAAATGATGTAAGCGGAGAACATAACTGTCCACCCCCAGTATTTAATCATATTCGAGTACTCTGTGCAGCTCAAACCATTCTCCCAGCTTTGTGGTGAACTGACCATTCCAGAATCACTACAGTACTGCTGCACTCTCTGGGATAGTATGAAGTAACTGTCAGAGTAACTGTTTGGTTGACGGATATTGTCAATGCAGATTTTGCCAGGACCCATTAAACAACAGGGTTTGTGACATGTGTAACAAAGGTCCAATTGAGGATGAAATGCATTTTCTGCTGGAATGCAACAAATATAATGAGTTGCGTACCAAACTGTTCAATAAAGCTAAGGATATGATCCCAGCATTTGAAAATAAACCTGCAGAGAAAAAATTCATGGAATTGTTACAGAACGAAAACGCTATTATACCAGTAGCACAGTTCATAAGTAAAGCTTCAAAGTCAGAAGCAGGTCTTACTTGACATCTTAATGCCT